CTTGTCTTTGTCGGTATTACCTTTCCAACATATATCACTAGTCGCTGTGCGACTGCCTGCGAGGGTTTAAGTATGAGCCCCAAGGCACAACGGAACGAGCATGTTCCGTAACCTGATCGGTGAGCGCCCACTATCATAATTAATATTCCCGATCACAACCGACAGGACAACGGGCCCGTGGCTCAATGGTAGAGCGTTCAACTCCATGACCAAAGATCCCGGGTTCGAATCTCAAGTGATCCACACTTGGGGTTGGGTATGACTGGCTGATGACGGCTAATAAGCCAGAAATGGCCATTCCGGTCTCCCTTGTCTTTGTCGGTATTACCTTTCCAACATATATCACTAGTCGCTGTGCGACTGCCTGCGAGGGTTTAAGTATGAGCCCCAAGGCACAACGGAACGAGCATGTTCCGTAACCTGATCGGTGAGCGCCCACTATCATAATTAATATTCCCGATCACAACCGACAGGACAACGGGCCCGTGGCTCAATGGTAGAGCGTTCAACTCCATGACCAAAGATCCCGGGTTCGAATCTCAAGTGATCCACACTTGGGGTTGGGTATGACTGGCTGATGACGGCTAATAAGCCAGAAATGGCCATTCCGGTCTCCCTTGTCTTTGTCGGTATTACCTTTCCAACATATATCACTAGTCGCTGTGCGACTGCCTGCGAGGGTTTAAGTATGAGCCCCAAGGCACAACGGAACGAGCATGTTCCGTAACCTGATCGGTGAGCGCCCACTATCATAATTAATATTCCCGATCACAACCGACAGGACAACGGGCCCGTGGCTCAATGGTAGAGCGTTCAACTCCATGACCAAAGATCCCGGTTTCGAATCTCAAGTGATCCACACTTGGGGTTTGGTATGACTGGCTGATGACGGCTAATAAGCCAGAAATGGCCATTCCGGTCTCCCTTGTCTTTGTCGGTATCATCTCATCTATATATATATATATATATATATATGTAGAGTAGAAGTGGTAGGCATTCCGAGACGATATAATGAATAAGGAAGAGGTTCTTCGGAAAAAATCGAGTTTTACTCGTGAATTTTCGAATTGGTAACACCAACCCGTCGTCTCACGAAATGAAGAGAAAAGAGAGAGTGAGACAGTCACGCTAGACTAATAGACGAGACAGGACAAACATTGGCGGACGAACTACTAGCGTGTGAGGAGAGATGCGGGTAGGGAGTCATGCTGGGTTCTGAGTCGGGAGGGTAGGAAGGGGGGGGGGGAACCGTTACGGCTGCCGTGTTGGAGGGGAGGGAGAACGGTAGGTTGGCAGAACTGCGGGCGCCTGGATTAGCGGCTGCTGATGCGGCGTGGGGCTCGGCTTAGTGAGGCGTGATCTTAGGCCCTCATAATGGACGTCTAGGTCAACATGGCGGTTGATGCTATCCGCGTTAGAGTGCCATGCCTCTAGGAATTCTCTCGCCCACGTTATAGAACTGCTCCAACTGTGACTTAAGAACTATTGTAAGTTCGACAATAAGTACTACCAACAGGTGAAGGGAAGTCCAATGGGCTCCCCAATATCCGGTCTACTCGCCGAACTAGTGCTACAGCGACTAGTACATGAGGTTTTTCAAACTCTCAACCCCAAAATGTGGCTCCGCTATGTAGACGACACCTTTGTCGTAATAAAGAACCGCGACGTCGAAAGGCTACATCAGTGGCTGAATGAAGTCTTTCCGGCCATAGAATTTACCCGCGAAGAGGCAGTAGGAGACACTCTGTCGTTTCTGGACGTGAAAATACAAAGGCTGGATGACGGTAACCTCGCAACCAGCGTCCATAGAAAAGGGTCTGATTCTGAGATCATCCTCAATTATGGAAGCAATCACCCTGCGGCTCATAAAAGAAGCTGCGTCCGAAACCTCTTCCACCGGGCCTACCGGTATTGCAGCAATGAAGATCTGCTGAAGAAAGAACTAGGCTTTCTATATCGGCTATTTCGATCTAACGGATACCCAGTCAGTTTCGTGAAGAACTGCCTCAGACGTCAGGCACAACCTCGAGACCCCTCCTCAGATGTAGAAACCGTGACGGGGAAATTCTTCTCCCTGCCCTATATGCAGGGGACCTCAGAAATGATCGCCCGTCAGTTAAGTCAGTTCGGTATTCGCGTTTCCCACAAACCTGCATCCCCGCTGCGCACAATCTTAACTCGAGTAAAGGATTCTATCCCCAAAGAGGAACAGACTAACGTCATTTATCGCATCCCGTGTGCCAATTGTCCGTGCGTATATGTTGGTCATACAGGACGACGCCTGGGAACTCGTATTAATGAACACAAACTAGCTGTCCGTCGCCGTGATCCACTCTCCCTCGTCTTTGCGCACACACTCCAGTGCGACCACCGTTTTAATTGGGATAACACCGAGGTCATCGCCACGGCCAACACAAAACGGGCGAGAGAATTCCTAGAGGCATGGCACTCTAACGCGGATAGCATCAACCGCCATGTTGACCTAGACGTCCATTATGAGGGCCTAAGATCACGCCTCAATAAGCCGAGCCCCACGCCGCATCAGCAGCCGCTAATCCAGGCGCCCGCAGTTCTGCCAACCTACCGTTCTCCCTCCCCTCCAACACGGCAGCCGTAACGGTTCCCCCCCCCTTCCTACCCTCCCGGCTCAGAACCCAGCATGACTCCCTACCCGCATCCCTCCTCACACGCTAGTAGTTCGTCCGCCAATGTTTGTCCTGTCTCGTCTATTAGTCTAGCGTGACTGTCTCACTCTCTCTTTTCTCTTCATTTCGTGAGACGACGGGTTGGTGTTACCAATTCGAAAATTCACGAGTAAAACTCGATTTTTTCCGAAGAACCTCTTCCTTTTTCATATATATATATATATATATATATATATATATATATATATATATAGATTCCGCATACTATCATTGTCAAATCTGCAACTAAAGCCGGGGCATTGCCAGTTGCGAAGGATAAAGTTCAGTATGAATTTATGGCCACCCGCATTTGCTTTGGGTATTTGCCAAACACTAATGTGATGTAACAGATCGTTCCTGTTAACAGACGCCTTATGTATCATGCGAAATTGATCCAGTTCTCAATCGAATAGCTCTCTACATTATGCATCATTAGGTTGTTAGAACATCACTTCCAAACGCAAGATCTAAGCAAAACAGGCACCTGTGAACATTCAAATGCAATCAGAGTGTCACGCATGGATGTCATATTTCAGTTACGAACGCATAAGTCGGTGTATACGTTTCCAGTCAACTCATTATCATTAGGATCCCTTTTTTGATTTAAAATGCCTGTTATTATTTGGACGCTTAGGCGTTTAGAACAGTGTTTCACGTAAGTCAGAAGGACGATTTTACTTTGATTATAATTGATTAGCGATTGACAGGCACTTTACGTCATCGTCAATTGCCTTATTATTCTTTATCTCGTAGCGTCGCACATTTGTTGAGGTTAAATTTCACCTGCCATTTGTTAGTCCATTCATTAACTTCTTCTTTCCATGTGTATTTTTTATTTTTGCAAGCACAACGTCCTCAAAATTAAAATGTACATCGGCTGACCCGCTTATACAATTCGCCCAAAAGTCACTTTCTTACTGACAGCAACTGACCTTCGAATTTTCCTTTGCATGTCCCTTAACAAATTCATATAGGCCATGTTTATCTGTCTTTCGATTATGCATCTAATTTCAAATGTCACATAGGCTTCTGATCGTTTACCTAATCTGTCTTTCATGCAATTATGCTGTTGGGTGTTTCTTCTATTCATGAAGTCGCACAGGCCTTTCAAAACACCGACAATGCCTTACGAAATTCTTCTCCTAGTCAGATATACGGCCAACTGTCAGTAATCTTAAATTTTTACAAAATGTTACAACATATGTGATGTCGATTTAAAATGTCTACACATCGTACCATCATGCGATACAATCATTCTCTATGGCTTGTGCGATTGTGTTGTGCGCCTGCAGTTATTCTTCTCTATGTATGTACATGCAACGTGAGACATTTTCAAGCTAGTGTTGTCCACCTACTTTTGCGCTGGACTCAAGCTTACGAAAGTTGAAGGCAGCTGCATCGCAGCTGTCGATGATTTGCAATAAATACCACTAGAGCTGCCCGGTATAAGTAACGCCAACTCTGACTCCTGAAGAACAAACATTGATATTGCGATCCAAAAAGACGACATATAAGATTTCAAGGATTAAGGTCGCAGGCAAGCAGGCACCGACTACAATATCCTTATTCATATGTGTACGAGGCATTTCGAGTTATTTTTAACATACAAGCAAACAGTGATATATGTAGATGCTACTTCTAATAGGGGCATCGCAATTCAACCTTAAAAGTGCATTCATCAAAAATGATCATTTTCTACTGATTAGTGATTTGCTGCGATCATGAATACGTTCATCCACAAGTTAGCATTCTACAACGCTCCACTTACCTGTGATTATACTTAGTGCTGTTTAGCACTGTAAATCCACCACAGTCATTCTTTCTTTCTAAAGGCGCATTTTGCAATACTGCTGTGCGTTTTACGAAACAGACCAAATAATTTATTTGTTATACTAAATAACTCAGTCTAAACAAAAAATCCGCTCTGGTGTTTTCAGCGAAAGCTGCATCTATTGACATAATTTGTTTCGATCCCATGCCTGTTAGTCTAACAGGCATCAGGTGGGACAGACATATCAATGACAGAAGTTTATCCTTAATATAAATTAAGCCCAAACACGACATGCCTATTTGTCAAAATTGACTTGGACGTGGTTAGCATCAGTATACAATTTGACGATGTCAACTTTTTGTAGTAAAACTCGGGATAAACCTCAGTCTGCAAACCGCATTAATCGATACATAATTTCGGATTTTTCTTCATAAATGTCGTATAGTATCAGTTAACTTACGACCAGACGGCATCTCTGGAGATAATGTAATCAGTTGTCCGGCGCAAAAGGTGACCTAAGCTATACTTCAGGCCCGACGACTGAAACCAGATGACGCTTCATATGTGTCGTCCACAAAGGTGTCCGGCTGTTTTAGGGAAGTCATTTACACTGTTTTATTTAAAGCGACTTTTTATAGATACATTGCGTCACCGATCTCATGAAATATTAGCCAAAATTCTAGAATGCGTTTCCGATTAGGATGGTTTATTCAAGTGAGGTTGTTATACTGATTATCTTGCAGCATAATCATATAACATTTCGGACTCTCTGCAATTTCGGCTTTTAAATACTGTGTTCTTTGGCCACCTGTAGTAGCCACACTCAATAAAAAATGACTACATATATAGCAATCATTTATTCTATTGGTTTTCCATGATTTTCTAAATTCAAATACATTTTAAAGAAAACATGCACAATAATATGCTTTCTTTTTCCAATTTGGTAGGCTATCGCATTGTATTCATATTTTTTACCTGAAGAACGTGCGTATTTAGGTTTTAAAAATAATTTACTTACATAATGTTGAAGGCTGTGCGGTGCCCATGCATGCATACCGTACATGTCCGTTTACTAATTCACATTGTGGAATGAACAAAACAGTCCCTATCCATTGCAAAATTGTATGCAGTATCTGTGGTCTCGTCTTAAAGGCACAGAGTAACATATTATTTTCCTTACACGGAAATGATGCACATTGTAGACTGAAAGTGCGAAACGCTGATATAATGTCAGAGCAGTCCGAAAATTATTTTTGAATGAAGAAACTTTTCAAAAACTAGAATAAACACTTTTTTCGGGCATAAACTATGAAGAAAATGTGATTTCCTACCAAATGAACAAATGAAAGTATATTTTTATTCATGGTTTCTATAAAACAATATTTGAATTTATAAAGCCGTCAGAAATCAAAATGAAAATGGCATGCTAAGTAAGTAGTTATATTTACTGACTGTGGTTACTGCAGGTGGCTAAAAAGGAGTGCATTTAAAAGCCGACACCATGCTAAGTCGGAAATGTTATAGGACTAAACTGCATGATAATCAATATAACAACTCCACATAAGTAAACCTTCCTAATCAGAACCGCATTCCAGAATTTTCGCCGACGTTTTATGATATCAGTCTCGCACTGTGTATAGCCATCATCAAATACTGAGCTTTGTACCAAAGAGCATCAATTATAGCTTCATTGAACAATGAGTGACTACTTTTCTGCAATCCATAAGGAACAGGGCGGCAGGACTGAAAATTAGTAATGCAGTACCTTATGCGAACGATCAGCCTATTTAAGAGGTGTGAAAGAGGGTTTTAAACGCCCTTTTTAAAGCGTTTCGCATAATATGCAAGTGTAAGCACCGTGTTTCACTTTCAGTTTCAGGTTTATTGAGGGAAGCATTGACGTTGATACTTTGAACTACCTATTTTTTACAGGGAAGTGAATTATATCAAAAATTTGAAAATGGAAACATCATAAAACTACATACTTTTTTTTCGGATTGGCGAAGTTTTCGAAATCAGACGGATAAACGAATTGTCCCATGTATTAACACAGTAACGTTACGAAATATGATGTATACTAGTCTGCCTATGCATAATTGAGGTTATCTCAGTTTCTGAGGGAGACGAAATAAGTGTCAACACTCACATTCAACGGACCTGGGACAATTGTACGAAACGAACGTTGATGAAATACAGTCAGTAATATAATAACATCAATAAACTGCTCGAACGAAGTGCCAGGACGGTGTCGGTCAGGTGACATTATGAAGTTTAGTGGTACACTTTCCCAAATTGCGCTTAAATGCCTGGATATAGGTGTACACCATACTGGTTTGCTTGTCCGCATTTGAACTTTCTCAAGAATGTTGAGATCCAACGAAGTGCAGGGTTTCCACGCCTGAATAGCGAACTTTAGCTGTGGTCGTAAAATGTCTGATAGTCTTTAACGAAGCAGTCCACATCAAGTGTAAGGAAAGCTATCTTGACAAGATAAAGCTTGCTTTAGCCACGGGGGTCTGGTGTTCAGATTCTTCCGTGGAATAGGACAGTGATCTATGAGAAGAACGCGCAATAAGTCACTTAACCTTTTCAATCCTTGATTATGTCACCGAGAAAAGCCGACTCCTAATTAATGGCGTTTAGTTCAGCTTTCACTTTTGGAAATGTTCCTTCTAAACCTGGTGGCTTGTTCGGACAGAAAACATGGAGTACTCCGAGAACAGTATGACGGGTTCACTTCGACCTAGGGGAGGTGGACTTTGCACCTCAGCAATGCTGCCCACCGATTTCGTAAGGAGCAGATCCAGGTTGTTTGACTTCGGCCCTTCGTGGGCACTCGACGAAAATAAATGTGCTGATAGAGAAAAAACCTGAGCGTCATGTCCAGCAAACGTCGGTCGAAAGCATAGGCTGAACCCCAGTCGATAAGATGTACATTGACGTCCCCCTTGATTAGGAATTCGGACCGTATAGATGATCTCTATAGGTCTTCAGACGGGCGTCCGCCATGAGATCATTTATTGGTGGTCGGTAGACCGTCAGGACTCGAAAGCCCGGTGAACCGGTTGCTCTTATAGTTAGGCCCATGCCCCAGGTGTACACGTAATTATATTTATTTTGACTGAGACTATAAAACCGTGTTTTACATACGTTAGTATGCCT